CGTGTATGGGTTTCCCCAGGGGGATAAAAAGCTGATGGGGATAGGAATGAGAATATTTTATCCCCGCGGACCGGTATGGGGATAGGGATGAGAAAACAGTGAAACAATGTTCTACTATGTACAGTGAAATATGAAAAAAAATCTGAAAGTAAAAAAAAACACAACAATTAATCATGAGAAAAAGGGTAACTAAAAATTAAGTCATTACAAAGAGCTTATCCCTCACCTGCAAAAAAAGGAAGAAAGAAAGAGCTTACCGCTAGAAGCTATAGTGAACAAATAACAAAACATGCAAAAAGCTAGGGTAAAAGAAGAAGGACGCCCACATAACTCAGCTCGTGCAAACAAGCAAAAGTAACCCGTGGCTCGTGCGTGGAACCGTAGAAAAGTGATGGGTAGAACACACAGACACACAAGGGTTGCCCCTCGTAGAGACGAGCCGCGCACCGGTCGTTCCCACGATAACGAACAAAAGCCATCACGAATCTTAGTGTGGTGATCGGAGGCCTAGAAAAGTGACTGGGACCATAGTTAAAAACTCAGCTAGCTAAGCTTCAGCAAAACCGATAAAATAAAGTTAATAAAATAAGATGAAACGAGGAAAAAAGTTTAATGAAAAAGAATACATTCAGGTTGGAGAGAGTGAGCCTAAAAAGTTAACTCAAATTTGAGAGAGTGATTGAGGAAATGGGAGAAAAAAGCTCACAGATTTGCCTTGAATCTCTCGTTATGCACAGTGTAGTAACTTGAAACAAGACCCATCCAGAGCAACGACAAAGGGACAACACAACCAGCTCCCCGCCACCTGAGACAAACAGTCCCAATGGCCTAGCGTGTGCTGAGCAAAAAGAAAAAAAAAAGATCAGATAACAGTCCGCTCCCCACGTATCTCCATAAAGCACGGATCTTGGCTTGTTCCCCGATCGGACGGTCGTTGACATGAATGAGCCCATAGATAAAACTCAGCTAGCTGAGTTCTAGCAAATCCGTTATTTTAATTCATAGAGACAATACGACGTCAAGTATTTGCACTCGAGCTCAAATGCTCTTGGTGGACAGTAAAATCAGAAGAAAAAAATTAAAAAAATCAAAATTCTGAATGAATGTGCATGCAAAATTTTATTATGAATGAACATTTCTGGAAGTCGTGGCAAAAGAACAAAAAATTGATACTCCGAATATGCTATTTTTGAAAGCATCTTGGAGTACTGATTTTGTATTTTTTGCCATGACTTCTACAAATGTTATTTCATGATTAAATTTTTTAAGCATAGAAAATATTTATCAAGGGTTACCAAAAAAAGAATTTATTGATTTTTTTTTTACTTTCTTTTGATTTTGCTGTCCACCCGAGCTCATTTGAGCTCAGGAGCAAAAGAACACTTTCAGAGACGATACTTTGAGCAACAATTACTTTGTTAACATATGCTTTCTATGATCTTAGATTTTATAGTCGTATCTAAATACAGCTTACCTTTTCTCAAAAAAGAAAACAGCTTACCTATTACTAATTTAGTGGAAGTACTATAACTTTGTTCATCGATCTGATCCTGATCCTAGTGTAGTCAAATAATTTGGCTACACTCCTTGTATGAGTGAAGTCAAACAATATGTCTTATATATCGGACCAGAGTCATTTAATAGCTATGTATAATGATGCTATCTTAAGGCTAGTTGTAATGGAGAGTACCATAACTAGTATCATGCATATGATACTAGTCTATGATACTACATCCGTAATGCATAGTATCATATGTTGGTATCATAGGGGACTATATTTATTGTCATGCATGACACAAAGTAGCACATCATTTAATATGATACGGTATCATGATATGATACTCAAGCCTCTCTTTCTTCATTTAATTCTATGCCATTTCATCAAAATTGCTTAGCTGGCATGCATGATACTACCTATGATACTCCCATTACGGGCAGCCTAAGATTGTCACAAACTAGTGTAGAATAAATGTTGAGATGGTGGAGAAAGAAACCATAAGACAAGACTTTTCTCCTCTTAATTAAGAGATGATTTTTTTAGCAACAATTGTCTCATCACATATTTAAGGATATTTATTTATTGAAAAAATACTAAGAATAACCTATCGTACATAATTTTTTATTGTCTTATCTAGATTATCGAAAAAGACATTCGCCCCGCTTTATATATAAATTATAAAGCAACAACCATCACATACTAGGTACAAATGCACGCCACCATAACACATGCGCACACCCAAGGCAGGATACATAGACGCTGAGCGCAGAAACAAAACTCCTAGTACTACAAGAGCAACCGGAGTCCTCAATCGGGAACATGCTATCGCGAAGAGATGAAGCCACATATGACAAACCGTGTGCTCGAAGGCGGCGCCTTCAATAAGGTTATGACACCAGAGCACCGCCACCGCCCGGCCTGAGGATCAAAGTTTCCCTGGAACAACACGATGGGCAATGAGAGCCGCAACGACGCCTTTAAAAAGGAAACGAGCTTTGCCGCCGCGGGGGTTCGTCCGAAGATAGATTGGGTTTTCACTCCGGCCAACACTCACAGTCACCGAACGCCACACCTCGGCGACCACGCCGCCCACACGACCACTGCCACCGGGCAGCACTGAGCCACACGCTCTTCCCATGAGGACCGTGGAACCACCACCAGGGCCGCCGCCCCGGCATCCAAGACCTCGACACCACCTCACATGAGACCCACCGCTACCCCAACCAAAGATACGAGTGGAAAGGATCCGCCTTTCGCACCCCTTGGCGGACCCACTGCCAAAACCCAATAGGCCGGCCAAGACAGGCCTCGATCGACCCGTCCTGCGGCACCAGGAGCGAGACGAGCTCGGTCCTGCCGCCGGGTGCGAGACGAGCTATGGACCACGCGCCGCCGGGGGAGGGCCAACCTTTCGACAGAGGTAACGACCAGACGATGAGGAGATGGACCAAAGGTCGAAACGGGCCGCCTACAAACAAGCCGACGCCGAAAAGCTAACCGCCACCGCAGTCGGCCCGCCAAGCTGCCGTGAAGCCACCCACGGCCGGAGCCGTAGCCACACCGGGCCACTGCCCAACCTGCGTCGTCCGGCGAGCTCCAAGCGTCGGAGCCGCCGGACACGCACCAGCGTTGGCACATGCCGCCGGCACCCCCCATCACCTGATTTGGTCGAATCCGGCAGAGAGCCCGTCCGCGCGCCACCTCCTGAGACGGGAGCTCTGCAGCCACTGCACCGCGCGCAGGACACAGGTCGCCCGGTGCGCCACCACCAGCCTATCTCCCCGCTACATCGCAAATACGCCGCCACCCGAGGAAGCCGCCCCCGCGTCGCTGCCCCATGAGCAGAGGAGGAAGAAGGGCCCTGCCGCCGCCACGACCACCGGGCTTTGTCCGACAGCGCCTGCCGGCGGCAGCGGGGAGGAGGGGAGGCAGGCGGTGTGGAAGGGCCTACTGGCTAGGGTTTCCCCCCGAAGCACGCGGGCGCGTCGCGGGAGGGGAGAAGGGGGATCCTTTGTGTGACGAATCCTTATCTGGATTACGTGGCGGGCATAAAATAAAACAACTTTATCAATCATTGTACATGCCCATACCGATGACCAGGCCACTTTTACCGCTGCACACGAGAAACATAGATAGAGTGTACAGTGCGTTGCCAAACGTTTTTGAGCTCGTTGCGGCAATCAATGGATCGTCAAGCATCCTAAGGAGCGCGGGTAGATGGTCACAACTGACCCGGTTTAGATACATTCGTATCTAAAACAAATCTAAGACAATTTTTTTGGCGAAGAACCTCTGTGTCCTAGGGACACTTGATGTATACATACAATTTTGGAGTCTAACCTGCTGAAGCGACTGGGTGGATCACCTGACGCTGCGAACCAACCTATGATTGAATGGTTAGAGGGACTGTGGTATCCTCAGCCCATCTGGGTTCAAATCCTGATGCTTACATTTTTTTCTGAATTTCTGCTGATACGCATTCAGTGGGAGGCAGGCCCGTATGTAGACATGTGCAGCTGGAGCGGTTGCACATGGCCTCCAATTTTGAGGGGGGGGGGGGATAGAATCAGCGATTACTAGTACTAGTCAACTGATTTGGCACTAATTCATGCAGTTTTATATAAGTGTAAATGAAAAAGGACTTGCCCTGAACATCAGAAACGCCTCCAGGCCAACCTCACGTCTCTCTCTCGGTATTTGCGTTTCTCATTTTCACTGCATGTTGAGCGATCCGGCCCCATGCATTGCCACACATCACGGTCTCCAACCTTTCTCCCCTCTAATTAGATTCTTGTAGACATTTTTTTGTTCTTTCTGATTTTTTCATTATTATTTTCATTATGGCAACAAGTAAAGTCCTTTTTGGTGATGATAAAATGTGAATTCTCTTAAAAATACTCCATCATCCGAATAGTTAATACAAAAAAGTTCAATTAATATTTTTACATATATGACCTAAATTTAATTTCGCACCGGGCCCCGGATTTGAAAGGTACGGCCCTGGTGGGAGGAGACGTACGTTTCCGTCGACGACGAGATGCCTATGGGGACTTCGTAAATTTCAAGATAATATGCCGGGTCAGTCTTTCGGAGATGCTCATAGGGGTAGGGTATGCATGTATGCATTCATAGGGATGAGTGTATGCGCGTGTATATGAACACTTGCGTCTGTACTGCGTTCAGGAAAAAAAAGATCACATGACGCTACACACGACCAGCACTGGTTGCTGGGCGTAAGGTGGTCAGCTCCGGCTCGTATGTCCTTTCTTTGTCGATACCCATCTCCCGCGAAACAAAATACTGACCGGTACCGCACAGCCTCGAGCGAGTGCCATGCATGCTGACTCGGTGGTGGTAACGTGGAGGGATTGACCGTGGACCGTCAAGTAACTCCCAGCCCAGCTACACTGGTCCAACCTCCAAGTTAAATAAAGGGTGGAGAGCCAGAGAGCAGAGAGCAGCTGAGCAGGAGTTTTTTAGATAAACGACACCGGCAGGCAGGATGAGGGTGGCGGTGGTGGGCGGCGGGGTCAGCGGGCTGGCGGCGGCGCACGAGCTGCTTTCCGCGAACGGCGGCGTGCGCGTGACCCTGTACGAGCAGGAGGAGAGCCTCGGAGGGCAAGCCAGGACGGTGGCCGTCGACGACGGCGCCGGCGGTTGCGCCAAGCTCGACCTCGGCTTCATGAGCTTCAACCAGGTCCGTACACTGATGAGTTAATGGTACCTGGATCGACTTGGATCGTTCGTGTGCATGCATGCATCCGCCAATTATTTGCCGTAGCTTCGTGGTTCACCCACAGACATGACATATCAGTTTGTGCGTTTCCAGCGATAACACATGTGTGCTTTCCTCTTTTCCATTTCTCGTGCGTTGTTGTGTTTTTGTTTTCGAGTCGTTGTCGTGTTGTGTCGTATCATTGGTTGCAACGATTTCAAAAAAAAAAAAGATTCACAAAGAGTGCTTATCAGGCTTGTGAACATTGCTCCATTGTTCAGAGAGAAGAATATGGAGCTCTCAGGTGCTCCATACTCCCATACGAACATTTCCTTTAAAAAAATACTGATAATTTTTTAAAAAAAATCTAGAATACAGGGATATCAAACCTGGGTCTGATCTACCCCTATATGAAATTTTGTGAAAGAATACCAGGAAACGTATTCGTGGCAAAAAAGATAAAAAAATCCTATGTATAAAAAAACACTGTTTGGATGGATTTTGTTCGGACAGTATTTCCTTCGCCATAAATAAGTTTTTGGGTATTTTTTCATGAAATTTCACACGGCAATAGATCGGGGACCCATGTTTGGTATCCCCAAAATTCAGATTTTTTTTGATTTTATTGGTACTTTTTATGATTAATTTTCGTATAGGGGTGTGGAGCACCCAAGAGCTCCTGTGTATTTTCCATACATTATGCCTTTTGTTGGTGGAACTTTTTTCCAAAAAAATACAAGAGAACTTCAGGTTTCACAGCCCGTATGTGGTCAAGGCTTGTAAAAATTGATGTTATTCCAAAGTTCAAAATTTTCATTATTCCTTCGAAAGCCAAATGTTTTTTTCTTCCCTCTGAATCAGTTTCGAATTTTTCATTATTCCTTTTTCTTCCCTCTGACTCTGAATATGCTGGTTCATTTTAATTCTATACAGAAAATCTAAACATACGGGCGTCCGGCGCCAAGCGTTCTGTCTCCCACCTTTCCATCCGGAAGGTTTCCCACCGTTCGCCAGGCGGTGGTGTGCCTCTAACTCTAAGCACAAAGATCATCTTTCTACTACAGATATCATCGCATTTTCACGCCAACCTTTGCATTATCATCATCGTCATTTGGTGTCTGATTCCATGTGCTCATAGTTCAAATGGAGAATTTTGCGTGTGGATTTGTGTTTGTGTTTTGCGGTGGTGCACCGTTCGTAGCAAAAAGTGCAAATTGATACAATACTATTCAGAAAGTATACAACAACGTTTGGCTGTCACAACGAGAACGGTGGCAGTGCCAGAAATTCAATCTCGAGTATTCAGTTTAGTTTTGTAGTCAAATAAATGAATTTCTATTAAAAATCAAGAGTTGTACATGTGTATATTGATTTTACCAAAAAGCTGGAGAGTCAGTTGAGTACCAACTTAAACGTGGCTTCGCCACCAGGCGAGAATGCTTGTAAGTGAAAATTGCTCTGTTGTACAGAGGGAAGAACATATTATGTTTTACATTTTGAAGGAATTAGGAAAATTTCGAAAAGTATTACCCCAAAAATAATTATCCAAAAGTTGTTCCTTACCTAATGTTGTCTGAATGTGTGTGGTGGTGTAAGTGTGTGTGTGGGTCTACGCCTTTTACTCAGAGTTCGGAGGTAGAAAATTTTGCCACACAGAGCATTAACCAATGGTGGGAAGCTTTACTCTGATAGTATAGGACCTCCTAACCCCGGGACTGAACATATTAGAAGATACTAGTACTATACTTTGTTCCTCACTAAGATTAATATTGTGCTATATGCATCAACGTAGGTAACATATCCCCACATGATGGAATGGTTAGAAGGGCTCGGGGTGGAGATGGAGAGATCGGACATGTCTTTCTCAGTGAGCACACAATCGAAAGGCGGCGGCGGAGGATGTGAGTGGGGCAATGGCAACGGTATCTCAGGCCTCTTGGCGCAAAAAACCAACATATTAAAACCCAGTTTTTGGCGCATGGTCTCTGAGATAATCAAGTTCAAGAATGATGCACTGACGTAAGCAGTACAGTTCGCATATTATAATACTTCCGTTCATAGCTGGATGCCTTGTGTTTATACTATATGATGACAGTTAATTCGCTGGTTTGATCTTTGAAATGAAGGTACCTGGAGGACCATGAACACAACCCTGATCTGGACCATAATGAGACATTGGGGCAGTTCATTCAGTCGCATGGATATTCCCTATCGTTTCAAGAGGCTTATCTTGTACTGCTTCTGTCTAATCTACTTGCTTATGTCCTCCTTTAGTGTAACCAGAAACCCTTCATTTGGCAAAATCTCACATCAGAATTCTGCTTTCAATTTTGACTTTTGAGTAAATGGCACGAAATTGTACATTTGGTGCAGATTCCAGTCTGCACAGGCATGTGGTCATGTTCATCACAAGATGTTTTCAGCTTGTCTGCTTTCTTCGTGTTGTCATTTTGCCGTAACAATGACCTTCTTCAGGTGCCCAGCTACTTCCTATGCATGTTCCTTTCCCATTGCATTTGTCTTTGTGCATTTGAAAGCTGATTAAATCGCTGCACTCAGCTGTTTCGTCACACCCAGTTTCCCACTGTCAAGCCTTGTTCGCAGTCCTATGCAAACAAGGTATGCATTGCGATCCAGCAGCCTCAAAAGAGGTTGCACATTTGTAGTTGTTACACTTTTTAGGCTTTTGCTGTAGGCAAATGCAGGGACTGAACAATGCGACTATTGCAGGTAAAAGGAGAATTGGAGAGCATGGGCTGTCGAATTAAAACCAGCTGTCGGGTCAAATCTTTTTCAAGTCTCGATGGATGTGCGTACATGCGTTATTGTTTGTTTATTGCCTGTACAAACAATGAGTCATCATATATATTATTGATTTACTGGCTGAAACAATCCTCTATCTTGGCACTGCAGTAGGTGGTTTCAGAGTCTTGGAGAATGATGGGTCAGAGGAAACATACGACAGTGTCATCCTTAGAACACCCTGTAGAGCAGGCTCAAAAATAACAGCAAAACGGAAGCTTCGGCCTAACCCCTCCAGCAGCTTGAATTAATTACTTAATTATTAACTGTGGTATATTTGTTCTTTTTTCCTCTTCTAGAAAATTGAATCTGCCAGGCCTTTCTTGGTGACACTCAACCCCCCTTGTGTTCCGGATCATGTACTGCTTAAATGGAATACAAGGCTTCCTGTTCCATCTGTGGCCGTGGCGAAAGCTTATCTTCAGCTTGATCAGATCCAGGGAAAGAGGGGAATATGGTTCTGTGGGACATATCAAGGTAACTTGTTTCATGAATTTCAGTTTCTAGATATGTACGATATACTTATATATACTACATTAAAGTTAAGTGTGAAATGATCTAAAGAGCACTAGGTCTCAAATGTCTCTTCTACATTGGATCTTAGGTCATGGCTTCTACGAAGATGGACTAAAGGTATTTGCGTGCCCAACCTGTCCATTTTTCCTTTTAGATCTGCCTCGCATAGTGAACCATACTGTTGCGTGCTAAATTGCTAAGGGTCCAGCAAAGCTAAACATAACTACAACTAGCCATATCGTTCCCTGCAAAAAAACTAACTAACCATCTCCTTGCTTAGTTCCATGTTTTTCGTTTATTCATCTATGGGGGCTGTTTATGTTGGGAATTCGCCGCTTGCCGTAGATCAGATCACCTACAGTACGCCGGTGCAACTAGTCTCAGGACTGAACCACGTACAAAGCTAGAAGCAAGCAAGCAAGCACCCGGCTGGATCGATTCCCACGTCCACTAGCACATGCACGTACAAGTCGCCGTAATCAACCTCGACGGAACACAACCCGCCGAGACGGCCGAAACACACGTACGCACACGAGAGAGTATTTGTTTTGCCTCAGCCCGTGGGCTTCATCGGTTGTTTTTGCTTTTCTATTTATAAGATGCAGATTACATGACCTTGACTCACACGGAAAAATACCGACTAACCTGCAACCTGACTCCAACTAGGACTCCTTGTAGTACTAACTCACGTAGAAAGTCTAGGACTCAACTCTAAGCATTATACGTGTCACGTGGGGAGTTTGGAATATCCAACAGTTTACACCACCCTGACATATATGCTTTTAGTTTCAGTCACATAATTTAGAGTGACTATTTCATGACTAGTTATGTGAGGTCTTTTTGTGTTGGACATATTGAATCGATGCAGTCCGGGAAAGCAGCAGCTCAAGATTTGCTTGGGAAGAAATGTGAGCTTCTGCTGAACCCAAAGAAGATGATTCCATCATGGACCGAGGCTGTGGCGCGCTTTCTTGTTGCAAGATTTTTCAACCAATACATATCCATTGGTAACTTGATGTGAGTCCTCGTACGAAGTCGAGATACTACGCGACGTCTAGTTATGCTTGTTGTTCACCTTAATTGTTTTTGTACAGATTGGTCGAAGAAAGAGGTAGTGTGTTCACCTTTGGTAAAGCTTGCGACAAATGCCGTGTAAAATCTGTCATCCAAGTTCATGACCCCTTGTTCTATTGGAAGGTTATCTTCTCTTCTCTTGTTGTGACCACACGTGCATTTAAAATAATTCTGAGTAGTGATGTGTCCGTGGATGTTTCCTAATTTCGTATATACTCCATGCTTTGTACACCTGGTTCTTTCATGTGTTTATCCTGGCTCTTTCATGGCTTTCAGGTTGCAATAGAAGGAGGCATGGGCTTGGCAGAAGCCTATATCGACGGTTGTTTCTCTGTTCTTGACAAGACAGAAGGCCTTCTGAATCTTATCCTGGTAAAACTAAATCATAGTCCATGAGCTTATGGGTAGAGCTGTTTCCTGTTCATTACAGATCAAATCCATGATCAATTACTTTGCAGATTCTCATTGCTAACAGAGACGAGCGTAGGAACCGACGTATTGCCAGAAAAGGGTTCTGGAACCTTCAATTCCCCACTAAATTTATATGAATTGATTATAAAATGAAGTTGTACCTATGAGTATGCATTTGTGATTAATCATGTACATAAATGTTTTTGCTTTACAGGTTTTGGTTGTCACCCGTGTATGTACTAGCTCAACTGGCATATGCTAAACACTTTTTGCGCCACACCTCGATGAAGAACACTGCGACACAAACTCGTCGAAACATCTCTCAGCACTATGATCTTGTCTGCACTCATGTCTTCTTTTGTTATTACATCCCATCATGATTAAGATAACTAGCTGCTTAGATCAATTCGTAATACCAGATTTACGGCAGATATTATTGAGATTGAGATTTTTGTGTTCCAAACCTCATCAAAAAGATTTGTTATCATTATTTACTTGTGATACGCCGAAATACTAAATAGTACTAATAGTTCTCTTTCTTATATATGTGCGCAGAGTAACGATTTTTTCTCGCTTTTTCTGGATAAATCGATGACATACTCTTGTGCAGTTTTCAAGGTTTGTAAATCCTATGTTTTGTTCTACAGCTTGTAAATTTTGCAGAGTACTTTTATTAATTCATGGACTAAGATTAAATTGCTAGGATAATGAAAGCTTAGAAGCAGCCCAGCAACATAAACTTAGCCTTCTAATCAACAAGGTAATACTTACATTTCTCCAGAGATTGCATTATTAGATTGATTACTAGTTGGACAATGTTGTGAACATGATCTGATGGTACTTCATTCTTGCAAAATACACATTTAACCAAAGGCTAAAGTCAAGAGGGGGCATCATGTTCTTGATATCGGTAGCGGCTGGGGAAGTTTAGCAATGGAAGCAGTTAAGCAAACTGGCTGCAAATACACTGGAGTCACTTTGTCGGCGGAGCAGCATAAATACGCTGAGAGAAAAGTCAGAGAAGCTGGCTTAGAGGTTAGTTCTATGTTACTCCTCCTTTACACAGTACCTGTCCAGTTTAATAGTTTTTCAGTATTATTCCACCATATGTGTTCATTGAGGAAGTGTGTGTATATAACCCTGTGAAGCAGACCGACTCGTTCCATCACAGCCCACTCTAAATGAAACGGTATTATCCCGCACGCCCACCGTTGCTGACAACACCGATCCTCCACACGACACTACCAGACCAGGGACAACACCCCGGGGATGAGACCCACCCCGGGGAGTGAAACAACTACCACTTCGCCATCGTTGACCAGTGGAACTTTACTGCAGCATATTTCAGAGTCGAGTAGTTTGGATTGCCGTATATTAATTATAATTTCGTAACTACAAAACAAATATAGACGTGCATGGTGAATTAGTATTATTTTGCCCCAGCTTATATGCTTTGGCAGGGTGAAGTTTTAGCTAACAATTCTACTGTCTATTGTTATTAATTTTCAGGACCGCATAAATTTTCTGCTGTGCGACTACCGTAAAATACCACCTTTTAAGTATGACGCAATCATAAGCTGGTAAGTGTTACTATATTACAGATGTGCACTGTGACTTCGACAATACCGGTGCTTGTGGTTGTACTTAATGTATTCCTCTTATGTAAATCAGCGGTATGATTGAACATGTTGGCCATGAATACATGGACGAATTTTTTGCTTGCTGCGAGTCTTACTTGGCTGAAGATGGGATATTGGTCCTCCAGGTTAGTGCATCAACAACTAAGTAGTATATTTCCAAACAGCTTCACGGCTGGATTCCACTGTCCCTACGAACGCCAACCAAGTAGTATATGCCATATTTTCGGTGCACAAGAACGAGGATTAGGCCTTATTCTCTCGGATTGGCGGAAAAAATCCAATGAAAGATAGTCCTTATTATCCAAACAAGACCTTAGGTTTATCATGAACTAACTATTATACATGTGTTCAGTTCATCTCAGTCCCAGAGGAACGGTACGAGCAATACAGAAAAAGGCCAGACTTCATAAAAGAATACATATTCCCTGGTGGTTGCATTCCTTCTTTGGCCCGTATAATGTCTGCCATGACCACGTCATCAAGGTTCTGGTACGTTTTACATGAATCGAACAATATTGATTGGTTACTTCATGGCCATGGATGAATCTCCATCAATTAAACCTCCCTGATCTTGTTGTGT